CTGCTAAATTATTCTTGAATGAAAAAAATTATTCAATCATTTTGGATCTTACCGATCCAACACCAGTATTCACTTTTTTCGAACTTCTCAACCTTTATCACCCAGTCTCTTGTTTCTTTATATGTTTCAGGATATCTTTTCTTTATTTTATTCCTATATTTTTCAGGGAGGCCTCTTAAATACCAGTGCTTCTTTTCACAATTACTAATATCGTTTTTTACTTTATTTGCGCAGGCCTCAAATCTGTTGATGAATAATACTACACTTTCATTTTATTCTAACTTAAGGTTCATTAAACATTCGATCTTTGCTTCAGTATCATATTTTGCTTTTGCAGAGATTAGTATGGTGTTTTTCACTTTAGTCCAGGTCTTCTTGGCACCAACAATATCTCTGATCCAATTACGCAAAAGTTCAGCAACGTACAGGCTAATTACAAGTCTCATCTTATCTTCATCCCAATCCTTCATAGCGGCATAACCTTCAAAATCAGTGATGAAGTTTTCAATAGATTCGTTGTTACTTTCTTGGTAGAAGGCTTTGTCAAGTCCTTAGCTATTTTTGGTAAAATGACGCACGTTACTTCAGGTTTGTTTAATATATTAAGCTCTGATATAAAATCAGTCATTGTTATTCTAATGAATATATTGTATTTGTTATTATATATATGTTTTTGTGTTGCGAGAGATACTTATAATCTGCTCAGATCAAATAAGGAGTTAATAGTAGCTACTGCTACCAATATCTGACTCAAAGGTCAAGCGAACGACAAAATACATGGGCCACTCAGGGGCTTTATTGAGTAAGTATCTTTATTACAGTAGTTGGGATAGTACTATTACAACCAAAAAAACTATTGATCCTTTATTTTTTTTTTACTTATATACTGACTTTCTCTATACTAATTACATCATAATTCAATAATGCAATCTTTAGATTTTTAATTAACTAATCATGCCACATTACCTATTAAACGATTACTATATTTCTAATACATTATTATTATACTTTAACTAATTTCTTATAACTAATTTGCATGTCATTAATTATTACTAACAGCGAATCGTTCCTGATCCTGGTTTGGTTCAAACATCATGTGAGGCATATGAGACACGTGAGGTACGTGATAGTTTGATCGATCTAATCTAACGTTACTTGCGTGAAAGTTTTTTATTATTATTATTATTGTTGTTGTTGTTGTTATTATTACTGTAATTGGGTTCTTTATATGACTATTTCGCTATTAGTTTAGTGTTTCCAACTCTATTCTCTGTACAAAGTGCACCTTATACTATGCTTCATCATCACAACAGTGTACTCTTGCTGATAATGTATCAGTATAATATTTCAGATATATGTATCTGCCAAGCAGTATGGCCAAGTGATGAATCTCCAAGAAAAGTTAGGTTTTGCTAAAAGCAATCCTCTTTTTATTCCCATATATTCTTTCTTGTAAAAAATAAAATCATCCGATCGAGCAATAATGAGAAGCTTGTCAACAAAGTAACAGGATGATCAGTATTGTGAAATTAGATAACTTTATGTGATCAGATGATTTTATGAATCATATGTTCAATTTGTCATTTAGCTTTTGTGTACAGTCTTATAGTATTTTGTTAGATACAAGTATTGGTCTTCTCATTTATTCTGGCAGAGAAATTTAATAGATTCAAGATAGTATATAGTAAAGTACAATTTTTTTTCTATTAACTAGCAATTAAAAAAATATATATATTATTTGAATATCTTGACAATATATTTATAAAAAAAATTAAATAATTTATTGATTTAATTTTTTAAATAAATCTTTAAATTTATTCAATTTTTAAATTTTAAAAAATTAAAAATTAAAATTTTGCTTATTTTTAAAATTTAAACAATTAAAATTAGATATTTTTTTGTATTACTATACAATAACTATCAAAAAAAGTTGCAAAATTTTAAATAAAATTATTATGTACAAAAAAAAGTTATAGCAAAATAATACACTAATTTAATTTAGTTTATTATATAATTTATATAGTAAAAATAAACAAATAATATAAAATACGCCTATAGTGTCTATGGTTTTTATAAGTTTTTAGCTAAAAGTTAGGGTTAGAGTGCAACTTTATAGTAAGATAGGGGTTAGATATAAGGGTCCAAATTTTAGTTAGTATAAGGTTTTTGAAGATTCTGAACATTTTTACTTAGTATCTCTTAGAGATGTAGCTAGTACATTTTTGAGATATAGCCAATTATAGTATTCAACACCATAGATGCATTTTAGTAACATTGAAAAATAATAGCTATTTAAGTTAAAAAAAATTAAAAAACCTATAAATTTTTAAATTTTAAAAATTTTAATAATGTATAAACATAAAAAATAATTCTTTAAATTTAAATTTTAATATGATAATAATTAAAAACTTATTAATTATAAATTTACTAACTTATTATATAAGTATATATTATATTAAAAACTAGTATATTTTTTTTATTTACTAGTTTTTAACCTAAAAACTATATTAATAAAAATTTTTTAAAATTTATAAAAATTTTATTTTATATATAAAATATAAGAATATTTTTGTTTTATAAATCAATTACAATTTACATAATAAAAAAAATAATAATAAATTAATAATAAATAGTTTTATTATTATATAATAATCTAAAAAATTGATAATAAAAAATATTTAATATAAATATAAAAAATTAATATTTATTATAATATACTGTTTTTTTAAAAAATAAGTTTAAAAATAATTTAATAAAATAAATTATTATATATACTTTCTATATTAATATGGTTGAGTCAGAATAAATAAGAAGACCTATATTTTCTAGTTAATATAATTGTTGAAATGTGAATTACATAAGAATATATAAGAGAAATAAGGGTAATCATATGGTTCTGAATATATAACCAGTAATACATTTAAGGAACCTTTAGTTAGTAAAGAAGATTATCTTTCTTTTCACTACATATTACTTGCTTTGGAATGAAGGCTGGCTCTATCATTCTACCTCTCATGTCTATTTCTCAGTACTTTTTAAAACCAGAACACTTGTTTAGCAAGATATTGGTTAGTACTATTAGGCCCTGCAGCTGCCACTAGCAGGATAAAGGCTTTATATTTGGCAATTAGATTTCTGCTGCTGTAGACAGCACAAGAATTTTATTTTTAATATTTAGGTTCTGCAGCTGCTATAGGAAGAATAATTCTAGTATAACCACTAAGATCAATTACATCAGCAGTTATAATTGGTATTTAAAATATGTTATGCACTTAAATTTATATCATTCTATATAGTCAAATAAAATACTTAAAAAAATATAATAAAATAATAATTTTTTTATTAAGCAATTTCAAATATAATTGCTTACTTAAGCAATACAAATTTAATTTTTTTATTTTAATATAAAGATTTATAGAAGTATAAAAAATATTCAAAGTGATATTTTATTTGTTATTTTTTTTAAAAAAAGCAATAAAAAAAATATACAAAACATATTTAATTTAGTTTTATTTATTGCTAATAAAATGTATTTTTGTTTCACCCATTCTATGTTTTTGAAAGATTTTTCACATATTCCAAATACTTAATATTATTAACCATTTTTTGAATTGGTATGAAGTTCGATTCAATATTTTCTAACTATTTTTTTGTTGTGGAAGATCAAAAGATCTTTCAAAAAGATTAAGCGTCTAAATATTTATATCAAGTAATTGTTAATTATATATATGAAATAAAAACAATTATTATAATAAATTATACCTTATTAAGAGTTTTTTTTAGTCCTCTACAATTTTTAGCTCAATTTCAGGTTCTTTATTATCTGACTCTGTCTATATTATATTTATCCAAAGTAATTAAATTTATTGTTAAATCAATTTGTGTATAATTAATTGGTGTTGTTATATGAATTATCTCTCAATTAGTTTGTTCAGTCTCTGTAATAAGTGATAATTTAAGTTTCATTAAACCTAAATTTATAATAATTATTAGAAATTATATTTCTAATAAATAAATAAATAAATATACTAATATATAAGTAAATATATTTTTCAAAAAAACAATGCATCTATTTTTCTAAATGAACTAACAAAATGCTTGCATAAAAAAAACCTGTTTGTTAAAAATAAAGGCAAGAGCATATCCAATGCTTATGATCTGTAAGATATTTTTTAGTATTTTTTACTATACATGTAATGAGACTTTTCTATTTTTTTTTAAAAATTATCATACTATGAAGGTAAAATCCATTCATGCAAGAGTAGCTGAAAATATTGCAATTGTATTGGCAATAACATTTAACAAAAATATAACATACAAGATCAATGCGTAGTTAGTTAAATTTATACAAATAGTCTCTTTTAAGATTTGCCAATATGTTTCAATGATCATTGTTATATGAATTACAGAAATTTCTGAAGTAGCAGATAAAGCCCAAAGTTTTTATCTGTCTCATCAATACCACTCATTTCAACAATAGGCCCACATATATAAAAAATTATTTTTATAGAAATTATCAAATATTTTATGTACTGCACGAAACCAAATTTTACGAGATAAAGTTACTAATTCTTTGTCAGCAGTTGGTATTAATATATGATAATGAAAATGTTTTTCAATATAATTTAATATGTCTTTTCTGAATCATGATTTGAGAAAAACTTTAGATGATTTTGTAGATATGTCAGTATGTTATGTAAGTTCACTATTACTATTCTATGTTAGATCTATTATATTGTATTTATTATATGCAATATTTGTATTATACTGAAATGTTTCACCTTTTTTGGATGAGAGTTTTTGTTCAATAGCATGCTTTACATGTCATTTACAAAGTTGCATATTTATGTCCTTCCAAATAACCTGTGCACTTGAAATTTGTGCAAAGTTCTTATTGCTTAATAGGATTTTTATATTGATAATATTTAAATTATAAATAGCCTTGAACCACTTTGTTATAATTATTCGCATCTTACAGTTCTTATTATTTGAAATATACAAATAACTAATTGGAAAACCTGTTCCATCTATAATAGCCATAAGTGCATAAAATTCTTGCTTAAGCTGATTGGTATTGTACATTGCATCAACTATCAAAGTTTCAAATACATTTTTTAGTAATGTGTCAATAAAAGGTGTTATAAAAGTGAATACTGGTGTTGGATCGGTAAGATCCAAAATGATTGAATAATTTTTTTCATTCAAGAATAATTTAGCAG